AAAATAGTCTCTGAAAACAAGTTCAATTTAATCTTCCGTATTGTATAAAATTTGAGATGTAACCCAAAAACTGTTGTAGGCTTTAGATTTAGAAACCAAAAAAGTCTTCTCTTAAGAATTCAGTGGTCTTTGGTCTACAGCAAGGTCTATGCAGGGGAATATGGGTTTGCTGTATTTGTCCAGCTACTCATCCCCTCTACATACTGACTGGGGTGAATTTCCCATGTCTGAGCATCATTTTGGTGGAAAGGAAGCATGGGCATGCAGGCTTGGTGCTGCAAATATTCTGCTCAGACTTCCCTCAACCTGAACTGGGGATGAAGTGTGGCACACTTGTTAAACCCAGGATGATGGAATGTGTCATGAAACAAACCTGCTTCACATCTGAGGCTTATCCCACACTTACCAAGTCTTCTGAAAAACATTAAGTATGACTGCCTATGGATGGAAGAGGTGCTAATGTTGTCTCATTTGGAATGCATTTATCAACTAATTACAAGCAGACAATAATTTCAATTCTAAGTAAATGTAGAAAAAGTAAACCAGTCTTTCCATATTTTGCTACACTTGGAAAACTCCAAAGACCTGGTAATTGCCTCCCATCACCTACAAAAACAGACAATAGACAGTGCAGCATATTCTCCTTGTGGAAGAAAAAAGTAGAAAAAGTATTTTCCTCTGCATACAGAAGGAAAAAGAGGGTATGTTTGGTTTTTTGTTTGTTTTATTTTGTTTTAAATGAGAAGAAAGAAATGCAACTGAGGAAATACAGCAACTTTCAGCTACATTGAAGATTCAGCTTTAAGTTCTTGTCTTGAATGATGCCTTAAGTTTTAGCTTTTGTTTTTCCAGATTCTGTACTGCATTATTATATAACTCTGAACTTCACATAAAAAGTTAGCAAGTTCTCTTCACAGTTTAGTTAGACAAAACAATCCTTTTGCAGCCTGAGAACCAAGGGCACCATTGCAGCTTCAGGTCCAAAAAGTGGAAACCACAGCGAATTGAGGAGAGCAAACTGAGAGGATGGGACTTCATAACCTGAAGCTGTAATTGGACAAATAACCCCAATATGTAAATGAACCAAAACTTATAAAAGTGTGAAAATGTGTGACCCGTTGTCTATCTTGGGTGTAGCCATGGCCAGGCTCTTGTACTGCCCAGGGTGTATCCTTTGAAGGCCTTTAATAAATATCTACTTTATTTCTTTGACCTTGTCTAGCATCTGTTCTAGGTAGCCTCTCAAGGCATCAGTTTTTCTATTATCAAAAATCCCTTGCTATAGGAACTGATCATGGCAAATGCAGATACAGGTTGCTCCTAGAAATCATACAACAGGAACCTGGAAGCCAATTTTTCTCACTCTCAGACGATTGACCTAACTGCTGGACAATTGGCTGTTATCAGGCATGTCAGAATTTTCTGGACCTGGAAAGCATTTCTGATAACACTTTGTTGAGAATATTTTGATAAAAATAGATTTTTATTTTCCTCAAATACTTCTGGTGTGCACTTACTAGGTGAATTTTTTGCATCCAGATTATGTGTTCACATCAAAGTGTTTCTCAAGGCTAGAGAAAAATACCTCATGGTAAGAAAGAAAGGCAATAATTTGTGCAGTTGTAGGACTACATAAAAGACCTAGTTTGTCTGTAATAATAATCAAATGGGCCAATGTAGGAGCAGCCTATGAGCTCACTCATTTTTCATGGTCTTGAAGTTTTCAGTATTAATTATTTCATAGGAAAGAAAATTGTCAGTATAATTTCAGTAAAATTTTCAGTATGATCCCCCAAAATCTTCAAGAAAGAAATTAAAGGAATCAATGGTATGTGAAGTTCCATTATACAGTGGGATTTTTTCACATGTGCTGAGGGCTTAAGAAAAGATAGTGATGGGAAAAATATGATCAGTCCAGGGTATTCACAATAAAGTAAGAAGAAAGCTATGTCAGATCTAGGTCACAAAATTATTTTTTCTCTTTCTATTGATATGGTCTATTGGTGAATGTTGCCCCTATGTTGCCTGGACCTTTCAGACTTCTAACAAAATACTGGAGATTGTGTTTGGATCATTTACCATTGTCCTTTCAGCTCTGATACTGTTTTAGCAATCAAGAAAGAAGAAAGAGGAGGGAAGGATTGTAGTCATCAGTGATGTCAATGGCATCACAAATGCATCACACCCCCAAAATTGCCTTTTTTAAAGAAAAAAAAATAGTGGTTCAGCAACTGGTTATTTCATTTAAATTGAAATTTTCATTATCTAAATTGCAATGTTCTTTTAAACTGTGGAACCACTGTTATTTCACATATAATCAAAAATTTGAATGTCTAAATAAGAATGTTCCACTTCTAATATTGTTAGACCATCAGCATAGGAAGTGAATCTTGAATACTGTTGATAGTACTAATCAGCAGTATGTAGATAGAAATTAACCATAACATTTTTTCATGGTAACACCAGTAATTTTGAAAAAAAAAGTAGTTGTACATTTTAATGTCTTTTTTTTTTCTATGTGGAAGCGTGAAAATAAAAAGAAGTCATGCCGGGAAAAAAAAGTGAGATGTGTTTTGAAAAGCTAACAACAGATTAAACAGAACCATTTATCATTCTAGAGGTGATAGGAATAGTTATAGAAAGTATAGTTTCCTGTTTCAATCATTCTATGGAGAACTCAACTGTTCAAATAAGAAAAAATGAAAAATAGGAAAAAAGAAAAAAGAAAGAAAAAAAGAGGTGAAAGAGTGAATGAAATTATATTAATTGCCTTGAAAAATAAAATTTTCTTTTCCTAAAGCTGCAGAAAGGGAGAACACTGCAGCTTTTTCTAGTGTGGCTCCTGCACGATGGTTGTATCTCAGAGAGACTGTGGAGAGCACAGACCTTGGTGCTGTGCTCACCCGAATTCCTTAGTCACTGAAGGCTCCAAAATGGAAAGATATTTGGGAACTCAGTTTCTGAAGCTGACAGATTCTTAAATTAGCCAGTTTTTGTTCTGAACAGAGACTTTTGGATGTAGCTGTAATTCCTCTGGAAAGACTCCGCCAAATCTTCAGGGCAGTTGTTTTTTACCCTTGATTTTTTTCACCCCCTATTCTAGCGAAGTGACTATGAAACAGAAACATGTAGGTTTTTTTCTTAACAATCCCTTTATTATGTTTATTATCTTACTGCTTTCTTGGGGATTTTGAGAAGCTTAGATATTTCCTCATTCCAAACTCATGATTGATTAATAGTTTTCCTTTTTCCTAACTCACATTCAAACTCATCATCCCTCTACATCAGGCTGCTTTCTCAATCCTGACCCTAATGGGTTTTGAAATGACTCTTCTACTTTATTTTATTGCTTATTGAACCAGGGGAACTCTATTTGAGTGCAGTGCTGAGCTTTTTAGCTGAGCCCTCCCCTTCAACAGGACTGTCTGTCTTTTTGAAACTCTAGCTAGGTGACAATGATGAGACTTCCAGGATGAGAAAGACTATTTATCTTTTCATGGGCTGTCTTGGGATAAGATTACATTAATTTATGTATATCAAAGGTTTATCACTTTTACTTTTTACCTTTTGAACTACAACTACTCTAAGGCCAACACATTTGTCAAGAGATAGAAAGGAAAAAATATTTGGAAAGCAACTATTTTTAATTTTATTAGAAGACATGGTGTTCCATAAATAAACTTTTGTGCAAGATCATTTGTGGGTGGTATAATAATATTAAAAGTAAATCGTCATTAATTTTTGCTTAGGTGTACGCAGATGTATGCTGCCAGTAGCTGGACAAGGAAAGGAGTCAAATGTACTAGCAAAATAAAACTCAGAAATAAGTATGCTTCTCTTCTTTTTTTTTTTTTATTTTTTAAAGATTCTGACATTTCCGTCACAGCTCCACATATGTCACCTGTATGTATTTGGCAGCCCTCACACCCACCTCAGTGGGACCAGTACATTCAAGCAGAATCTCACATACATGAAAAAGGGCTTTACTGGAATGCACTTTTTTTCTGTTATACTTACAAAAGAAAAAGAAAATGAAACTGTACAAAAACATAATGTGTTAAACAAAAAAACTCCACAAACCCTGCAGTTGCCTTCCCTGTAGTCCAGCTTCAGCAGACACATCAGCAGGCTTCCAGAGTAACTTTTGGTCTCAGCACGATGTCTATTTGAAAATCACTTCAAAGCAAAAATGGGTGATGGCAGGGAGAATGAGCTTCTCAGATGCTGGATGAAGATGAAAAGAGAACTGAGCAGTGGATTTTGGCTTTTGAGGGTGTTTTGTGACCCTTGCAAAGTGAAGGGATCGGCAAACTGATTTCCACTGTTTTCAAACCTGCTCCAAGTACTGGTATAGATAGGAAAGTGAGCAGTATAGCCAAACACAAGAAGCTTTTGTTTTGTTTTGGAGAGATTGCATATCTGCTTAGTGTGAGATCAGAAATATAGAACATATTTTGCTTCATACATTTCTGATTTCAGGCTAAAACCCAAGAATGGCAAACAATGTTTTGTTGCAAGGTGAAATCACCATTCTCTTTAAACATTTTTAAACATTATTACAGAAAACATCTGCTGAAGGAAAAGAAAGGGCCTCCTGTGTGTTTGGGTCCCTGCCTTGTCTACCTGCTCACAGGTGGCAGCTCTCTGTTGGCACGCAGCAGGCAGCCCCAGCACCCCAGGTGCACACTCACTGTGCCACATTTACTGTGAAGGAGGGGGCGTGGTTGAAGGAGAAGACAATTTGAACAGGTAGTTTCTGGTTTTACAGAAGTGGAGATGATTCACCCTGCTTCAATACTCTTTTCCCTGTAAACCCATATCTACACTCTAAATCAGGTTTTGGTAACCTAAACAACATCACTAGGCCTGTAATTTCTTTTTCTCCCATCTTTTCATGGTGAAAGTGCCACCTTTGGAAACAGAGTATTGGAAGGAGTGTATCTTTGCTTGGTTTTCAAAATTTTCAACTCGGTATCACACCAATACCTCTTCATTTGCAGGCGTTAGAAGAGCCATCCAAGCCTGCTAGTGTGACTGAAGGCACTGCTTTGGACACTCATTCAGAGGTAGTGATGCTATTTATCTTTCAGACCTGTATTTAAAACCAAAATACAAAGTTTAATGGAGTGATCCATTCTCCCCTTTCAGATGTGCTCCCCTGCCCAGCTCAGACAACAAACAGAAGAGCTGTGTGCTGTCATTGATCAAGTCCTGCAGGACCCCTTGACCATGGTAACCCATCAGTATGTGAAATGGACTTACTCTCTTCCTTTCCTTTTGTCTCTTGTCATTAATATGTCCATTCTCTGTTGAAAATAATTTTCCAGCGCCGGTGTGAGTCTTCTCCAAGTTTCCTGCAGATGAGCACAGAGTCAGATGTTGGCAAGGTAGGTGAATAAGCCCACCTCTACAGCAAGGGCTCTTTTAAAGTAATTATAAAGGCAGGCAAAATCAGTACGTAGTAGAGATTGCTGCAACAGTAAAACCAATGGCAACTCAGAGCAGCAGCTGAGAAATGCAACATCAAAAGTGTTTGGTGGTTAAAAAAGCATGGAAAGACAGAACTGGAGTCAGAGCAGTCTTTGCTGCAGGAGGCTTTCCTGAAGTCAGAAGGAGATATATTATGAGAGGGAAAGAGTGTATTAAGGCTTCAGAGGCTAAAAATCTCTCATGCCTTGCCTGCCATATGGCAGGGTCTCTGGCCTTCTCCCAGACTTCATCTCATCCATGTGTCCTTACTGCAAAGGAACCAATGTTTCTAGCTTTGATGGCTGAAAGCATCTTTCAGAACACAGGGGTTTTTTTCCAAGTTCATGATTTATTTTCAAATAATGAGAGTATTAAATTAATAGTTGGACTTGCTTTGAAGTTCTGATTTCAAGTGTCACCACTCCCAGAAGGAAGATGTCTACAACATCCCTTTCTCCTGGATAACTAAGAAATAGGTAGTGAGAGGCAGGGTTAATTTTCTATTTCTAAACTCCTGGCTTCATTAAGTTATACTGATGTGCTTTCTGGGTTCAGAAGGGTGGCTAACCAAGGGAAGAAGGTCTTGTATTCAGTTGGATCCAGGTAAATTTAAGTTACTTGTCATAGCTGTAGGAAAGTGAAAATGGCAGAAATCCAATTAAAAATGGGAGGAAAGGAATTTCTGGCAGATGAACACATCAAAAAGTTAATCCATTCAAAATATCCTGCTGCATGTCCAGTCCACCATGCAAGAATAAGGCACAGGTCCAGCATTTCTCATTGGCTGTATTGAATATACAGTTCAAATTTAATTTCCGTTTTTGAAAGTGCTTCTGTCAATCAGCATGCAGCAGTGAATTGGACTCCAAGAGGCTGAAGGACAGAAATGTGATAGCAGGAGAAGGATGGGCAGACAGTGTTATTGAGTGTGTTTTCCAATGCCTGAAAAATCTGGAGTGCTTAAAATGCTGCTACCAAGCTGAGTTAGAGTATCCAAAAACCACTTCCTTGGGCAATTGAGAATGGAAGGCATCTTTTAGCAGTCATGAAATAAAATAAAGGGGGGGAAAAGGTGAGCTTAAAAGGATAGAGACCAAGCTAAAAGTGGTGAGGATCTCAAGATGAGGTCAAAAAGTGCTTAACAGAGGGTAAAAGAAGGTCATAGACATGGAAGAAAAAAGAGACCTGATAAGTAAATGCTTTAGAATTGTTATAGATTAGTCAAATTAAAGCAAATTCTTGCAAATGAAAGCATGGAGAGGTAATTTTTTGTATTTTGTGAGTGAATACAACTTCAATTTCATGGGGCAATGATACCTATGGGTATCTAATAATAAGAATTTTGTTATGAAAATTCTCATATTAAATGCCATCCTCAATAGAGCAGGATCAATATTTTTGATCAGTAAAATTAAGTAGTATTTTCTGCAATAAACATACAAGCAAAACTTAATTATGTTTTAGTCTCATGTATGGTGTGAATCTTTCTGGAAAACTTAAGTTTTCCTGAATTTGAGCAATTAATAAATTCTCAGTGTTGAAAATCTCTTGGAGTTACTGTTCAGAATAACTCAACATACTGATTATATGTCTATTTGTCTTTTTACAAGATGTCAACGACACTGCAGAGAGCAGCTGGGCGTGAAACCAGATATGTAAGTACTTTTATAATTGCTCTATATTTTGCATGCAAAAAAGCTTACTTTGTCTGCTCCTAAACAATCCTGGGGGAATCTACATGTGATATCAGATGTTGACTAGCATAGACAAGTACATAAATTACTGGTTGTAATGTAGTTCCATATAGTGCTGGCATTTGAGACTTGAGGTGTCTTCCCACTGTACTAAATCCATCCAGACTGGATTCTCTTCACTGCTGTGTCTATTGATAATTTTACCTGTGTGAATATGACATTAAAATTGATTTCTTCACATGCTTCTTTATTGTTGTTTCTTTCAAGCCTGGGGCAAGGATTCAGCTGTTTGGTAAACAGATTGTTTGTTATGGGTACTGAAGGGTGCTTTTCTTTGGACCCAGCCTGCACTGTAGAGGACTTGCATTGGTAGAAGTCCTGTAGTTCTTGCTTGTCCTTCAGAATCTGGGATTGATTCAAACTTTTCTGTCCAAGATACAGAGCTGGCTGAAAACCCACAGTTTAGATGAATGAAAGCTGTTTTGTCACATATACACACACTCCAATATATGATGAAAATATCTGTATTGAGTAATTCATTCAATTATTGGAACATTAAACCCAATTAACATTTTAATTCTCTCTAGCATACACAGTTACTACAGGTTCCACATTTTACTTGCAACTCATTTAGTCATGTGATGAGAAATCTCAGCTTACTATTCATCATTCAGCATTTCTATTGAACCTCAAATCAAAGCTGTGCTGGCAAAGCAACAGAGGTCTCCCAGTCTTATGCCAGCACAATGCTTGACTGATCAATTCAATTTTGCTTCCAGAATGTGGCAGAATGCATATTTTATTGCATACTGTGATTTTTGCTTGACAGATTGTGCTGGCTCATACTAATTAGGAAGACTATCAGAGGAGAGCTTTTAAATGAAATAAAAGAATGTACTTCAGAGGTAGTCTTTGAGAACAGAGTGTATTTAATAACACTCCAGTGCAAATCTCCAGCTTCCAAAGCTGGAATATGGACATATACCATAAATTCAGCCATCCAGCTTAGGGAAGCCTAGAGATGGCATGGAAAATCACCATCACAAACACTTTTTTTCTATTTCCACCGGAATTTTCCAGATGAATGAAACAAACCGATATTTAAAACTATGTTTGGGAATAACACAGAGGTTTATTGGAAGGCTAATCTTTCCTATAAATTGTAAGGTGTGTTGAATTTTTTGTGTGTCAGGAGATAGACTGGAGTCCCCAGGCTGGGCTGTGGTGCCTGAACTTGATGGGTCCAGGCTCTCCTGTACTCTGCCATTGCTCTACTCTGCAGAGTCTCCTGAGAGATGTATCAGGTGTCTATAAAAGCATAGGTGCATCACAGCTCTTTCCTCCTCTCTTGCTCTGCTTCTTTAGTAGGATATAAAAAGGCTGTTTCTGGCCCAGTTGATAATCCAGGTGATAGTTTGTCCTCTGGCCATGAGATAAAGGGCACACAGAAGTGGTTTTCCGTAGTTATAATATTTCTGTATTTACAATATCTAGTATTGAGATGCTTGTCAAAATGTTGCTTTGAGGACATTTTTGGTTAAAAGAGGAGCTTAATTTTGTTTATGAGTAATGCTGAAGTATTATTTATAACCACCACATATAAAGGTATGTGTATGCACACATGGTAATATTGCTAATTACTTTAATAGGTTATATAGAGTAGTAGGTTATAGAAGTATGTTGAAATAACTGCCATTTAACAATTAAAGTATTGTAAATTTGCCTTGGCCTCAGCTATATTTTATCTTCTCATGAACTTCAGAAGCTTTTAAGGATGTAAATAATTGTACAAACAGCAAAGGAGTATATAAAAAGAGAGCTAACTTCAGTTTATACCAGCTGACAACTAAGTACTACAGATGTAATTTAACAACTTTTAAAACAGTATGGTCTTTGACATGATTCCATTCACCATTTAATAATAATTCATCTCTGTTGGCTTTAGGGATGATATTTCTGATTTTTAATAATAGTACAATTATGGTCTAGATAGGAATTTCTCATAACTGATCTGAAAAATGAATGTCCACATTATTGACATGTGTGCTTAAGTAGGATTGTTCTGGTTCTCCTACTGTGAAGTGAGAAAAGGCTGAGAAGGTACTCAACACAGTACTATTCATAATGTTAATAACATTGAGGCTGCAAATTAACAGACAATGGCAGCCTCAGAAAAATAAGATCTATATTTCAATATTACATCAAGATGAAAATGGGAAATTTTATTTCACTTGGAAAAAAGAATCCCTAAAATCTTGACAGCATTTGATTATATCTAGAAGTAAACTGAAAATGAGAATATTTTATATTCTCTCATACCTCTGCATCAGTGGGAAAAGCTTCTGTAGCTAAGCTAAGCCTAGTGCTGTACCTGGATTTTTTTCTGTCATCATCATTATAATCACAAAGATATTGCATGTAATACTGTATATATTCATCTTTTTTTGCAGGCCAATCTTTACAAGTCGGTGCCTATAGTAACTGAGAGTCAGCTGGTATGTATAGCACAGCAGTGATACACTGTTTTTCAAAATTTGCACAAGCACAAAATTTTATTAATTATTTGCTTTCCTAGTCCTTTGAAAAAAAAAACTGCAGTAAATATTGTTTGAACCCTGAATGCTTTTACAAAACTGCATTGCTTCTACAGAGTTGTATTGGGTTTTATTTCTGCACTGAATACACACCTGTTTTAAGTAGCTATAAATCCTGATACTGGTTGTAAACCCATGGGCCAAATGCCAAACTACAGAGTTGTGCTGAATCTTGAGGTGTATGACAGCAGTAGAGTCAACTGCTGGTTCTTGGACTCTTTTAATATTTCACTTGGACAATTTGGTCTAAATGCAAAAAGATTCTAGCATCTGTTTCTTCTTACACTCTGTTTTACATCAAAGCTGCTTTAATGAGTGAAAAGCAAGGGTAAGATCAAGTAAGAAAGGGAGATTATATATCAGATGTTCATTTTAGCTCTAATCACAATTTCATCTTGTTGGAGCCAAAATTTCTGAAGAAGAGTCAGAAGAGAAATTGTGGAGCCGGCCCAAGTAGCAGTGACGACTAATGAATGCTTAGGAAAAAAAGGAGATGTAGATGAGAATTTTTTCCCTTGTATTTCAACTAATGCAATCTTAGGGACTTCCTGAATCAATTTCTTCTCCTAGCAATCTTTGATTATATCTTCTTTCATTATTTTTTCCAGTTACTTTTTGAATTTTGTTATATTTTGGTCTTTTTAACATTCTCTAGCAATAGGCTTTACTTTTAAATTATGCGTGGTGCAAAATACTACTTTATTCCTTTGTTTTAAACCTATGACTTGACCTCAGTTCTTGTACTAAAATAGCAAATAACTTTTCTTTCTTCACTTTCTAAATAACATCAATTTTTTTCTAGGTATTAACAATAATACCTAGACCTAACACTACCAGTCATCTCTGTTTCATGTAAAAAGAATTAAAAATTGCTTGGTCACTCTTTGAAAAGTATGGGTACTGTCCCATATCACTGATGATCCTTCTTGCCCTTTTCTATATCTTTTTCAGGTTTTGTTTTTGAGATTGAGAGACTGAAATCATAAACTGCTCTTGGTATAGCTCTAAATACAGAACTTTCTATTTACATGAGGATGTGATAAGGTTCTTTATTGCTATTTCTATTCCCTTCTTAACAATTTATAGTGCTTTATTTAGTTCTTTTTACTCTTCATGAGCAGCAAGCCAATGTTTGCACCGAACTGTACACAATAAAGTCAAGATATATTTCCTGAGTAGTGAGAACTGGTTTCTCAGCTAATGAGCTCATTGGTGCATGAGCATGACCACATTAAGGATGTAGTTTAGGTTTTTTTTGTGGTGAAATGTATCAATGCTGAATTTAGTTATGTTTCACCTGCCTTTTATCATTCATTCACTCAGTATTGTAAGATCTCTCTGTAACTGTCTGCACCAATATTTTTAGTGCAAAATACTGCACTAAAAATATTTAGGGGATTAGTATTACCTAATTAGTATTACCAGCAAACTTTGTCACCTTACCAGACATTCTTTCCTATCTGATCTGCATCCATAATTCAAAGCCCAGATTCCCAAGCATATCTCTGAGGAACTCTGTGACTTGTTCCAACCCTGCTGCTGTGGACAGGGACACCTTTAACTAGAACATGTTGCTCAGAGTTCCATCCAACTTGATGAGGGTTGGAGCATCCACAACAGGTTGTTCTCTGGACAACCTGTTCCAGTGCCTCACCATTCTCTCAGTAAATAATTTCTTCCTAATACCTGATCTAAACCTGCCCTCTTTCAGTTTCAAGCAAATCCCCCTTGTTCTGTCACAGGTGGAATGGGGTTGCAACAGGCACCTGACCCACCAGTTTCAGCAAAATCTCAGAGGCAACTAGTGTCATAATAACAGGGGGGAAAATTAGAGATTAATGTGTCCATACATCCTCCAATGTTCAGTCTTCTGACTTTTCAGACAAATTTTATGCAAGGCTCATTTTCATTCAAAATACCTTCTGTTCCTGAGGGAGGATGGCCCTGTCCATGCTGCCTATAGAGAGGCACTTTGGCCCAGCCTGTGGCTTATTTCCAGTTGTGTACTTGCTGACCTGGCCAGACCCATGCCAGAGAATGCCTTGGCTCTGGATCAGTATCAGTCATTATGGCCAGCTCTGGAATTTGTGCTTTGGCCCTGTGCAATTTGCTGGAAGTTCTGTACACATACAATGGCAGCCCAGTGCTACCATAACAGCTTTTACCATTTTTTGATGTTGATGTAGGAAGACCAATAGTTTCTTTGGCAAAACTTAGTTTTAGATTGTTTCTCAGCATGTCAGCTGTGACATTTGTCATCAAAGAAAGAGTTCAAGTTCTTAGTTTCGGATCAAAGATTTTATGTAGTTTGTCAGGGTGCTAATAAAGTGCTTGGAATTCTGGTTGCTGGCTGATATCTGTCACTCTGTTAGCAGAGTCTGACATAAACATATGACTCAGTCAGCACTTGAGTACATGATGTTATTTAGAAAATGTTTCCTTAAAAGCATTTCTGCAGCATGCTTTTGGAAGAGTTTTCTTACAAAAGGAGAGTAGCTTATCCTTGATGATTTCAGGTATCACAATGGGCTTTTAATTGCATGGTAACATGGTGTGGAGGAGTGCCAGGAGGCCGCATATCCTTTGCATAATAATGACTTGATAACAATAGTACCTTTCTTTTTAAATTTATATTTACCTTTATGTTGAAACCCAGACATGTTACGGATGCTTTTCAGAAGTGTTGATAGAAAAATAAGTATCTTTTGGTCAATCCTACAAAGATATAGTCATTAACTACGGACTATAAATTCATTAAAAAAGCACTGCATGTTTGAAAAAGTTGATCTTTGTAATGAAAACGTTTTTGATACAACTTGACAGTTACTACTCTTTAAAAAAAATTAGTATCACTGCATGGCTGATATTGTTGCTTTCAGTTGAATGTTTTTCTTACTTGATGAAACAAATGAAAGGGCCCAATCTGTGGAGAGGAGGGAGAATAGAAGACACAAATCTAAGGGAAGATGTTTTGCTCCCTGGGCCCTGCTCTACCCAGGTGTTCTCCTGCCTGCCTCTGCTGCCTTCACCTCAGACCCAGGGCTGTGCTCTGTCCTTTCCCAGGGCAGAAGCAGAGCACAAAACACCCTCTGCCCCCTTCCCTCCAAAGGACATCCCTCTTGCCTTGTCCTTGCTGGATGCCTGCAGATCTTGCTTTAAAGTGGTCCATGACTCAGTTTACGTCCTACATCCAGCAATCTCAGCTGCATCATTTTAAGCTTACTTTCATAGAATCTTCTCTTTTCCCACACTGGCTGATAAAGTGTATTGCTCTTATAAATAGACAGAATGATTTTATTAAGTATGCATGTTTATTTTATAAATAAATCTAATAGTGAATCAGGTTTCTTCTCTGCATTTTTATACCTGGCTGGATACTGAGGATGAGGAGCTGTGACAACACTTATTTCTCAGTCCCAGCTGGGCAAGCTGCCCCTCTGTGCTGCAACCACAGAACGGCAACAGCAGTCATGTTGTTACCTACATAATTTGTGAGAGACCATTTATTTTCTATGTCATAACAGAGGAGAATACAATTGACTCATTTACAAGTTTAAATTTAAATTCAATCACATATTGAACTTGACTACTTTTAAAATTCCAGTGAGAAAGTACACTTTTTCTTCCTTTTTTTTGGCTCACTGAACATGTCTATTTTAAATTATCCCTTAACCTCCATTTAGAGTTTATGCCACAATCCATCTTGTCCTATTTTACTGTAAGAATTAAAAAAAAATCACAGATATACTAAATTGAGAAGTTAATAGTCAAATTTTTTGGTTGACTGGTTGCTAACCAAGGAATTTTTTCTTGATTAAATAATCCAATTTGTCTGAAATGATGGGTATCACATATCCGTGCTGATCAGATCCTCTAAAATGTACTTTTCCAGCTGAACCCTTAAAGATACTGTCCCTGTGTCACCGAGGTGAGTGGCTCTAGTGCTGGCATGCCTGGCAGTGGAGCGCTGCAGTGGGGTGCACAGAGCAGCTTCCCGAGCCAGGGGAACCTCAGAGGGACTGGAGAGGAAAACTGGCTGGATGGCCAAGCTCAGAGATTGGTGGTGAATGGATCCAATCTGGCTGGTGGCCCATCACAAGGGGTGTCCCCAAGGCTCAGTATTGAAGCCTGTTCAGCTTAGTGTCTTTATTGGTGATCTCTGTGAAAGGATTTAACACACTCTCTGTCAGTTTGCAGGTTGAGTGCTGATCTTCTGGGTGGGAGGATTCTGTGCAGAGGGATCTGGACAGGCTGGGTGCATGGGCTGAGGCCAATTGTATGAGGTTCAACAAGGCCAAGCGCTGGGTCCTGCCCTTCAGCCACAACCCCAGGAAGTGCCCAGGCTATGGGAGGAGTGGCTGGAAAGTGCCCAGTGCAAAAGGACCTGGTGTGCTGGTCAGCAGCAGCAGAGCATGAGCCAGCAGTGAGCCCAGGTGGCCAGGAAGGCTCATAGATCCTGGCCTGTGTCAGCAATAGTGTGGCCAGCAGGAGCAGGGCAGGGATTGTCCCCCTGTACTCAGCACTGCTGAGGCCACAGCTCGAGTGCTGTGTCCAGTTCTGGGCCCTCACTGTGAGAAAGACACTGAGGGGCTGGAGCGAGTCCAGGGAAGGGCAATGGAGCTGGGGAAGGGTCTGGAGCACAAGTCCTGTGAGGAGCGGCTGAGGGAGCTGGGGGTGTTCAGCCTGGAGAAAAGGAGGCTCAGGGGAGACCTCATCACTCTCTACAAGTGCCTGAAAGGAGGTTGTAGTGAGGTAGTGATAGGACAAGAGGAAACAGCCTCAAGTCATGTCAGGGAAGGTTTATACTGGACATTAAGAAAAATTTCTTCGGGCTGCACAGGGAAGTGGTTGAATCCCCATCCCTGGAGGAATTTAAAAGATGTGTAGATATGGCTCTTTGTGATATAATTTACTGGTGGACTTGGCAGTGGTAGGTCAAGTAGAACTCTGTTATCTTAAAGATTTTTTCCAATCCAAGCAATTCTATTCTACATTTGTATCATTTACAGTACCTGAAATCAATAGCATGTCTCCACTTTTGGTACTCTGTCTTAAAATTTCCACTCATTGGACATAATATTCTGCAGGTATTTAAGAGATGTGTAGATGGAGAGCACAGGTGCATGGTTTAGTTGTGAACTTGGCAGTACTAGGTTTTTGGTTGGACTCAATGATTGCAAAGCTCTTTTCCAGCCTATGTGTGATACAGTGACTCAGTGACTCTATAGAATGCAGCATGCAATCACTGGTATTATTTCCCAGTAAGACTTTTCCTAACATGCTTCTGCCTGGGTGTAAGTTGACAGTATCATGGATTGTTCTTCCTTGTTTCACAGTTACTCTTTTGAGGAGCCCAGTGTGAAAGCAGATGTGTGGCTGTGCATAAAGTGTGACTTGAACTTATCAAGGTGCAGCTGAGCAGCCAGAAAAAAATAACAGCCAGCAAAACCCACAAACCGTGGTCTGACAGCTCAGTAGGTATTTTTGTCAGTAATAAACACATGGCAATGATGAAGTTCTGTGCCTAAAAGCAGCTCTTGGCACTTTTGCCCACAATCTGTATTAGAAGTAGTCCAGGCAGCATGACACCTGAATAATTTTGGTGGTGAAACATGTCATTAAGAAAATACTTTAAAACACAGTCTGTACAACCCCTCCAGAATTGACTTGTCTAACAAATATTCTGTAAATGGTAAGGTATTTTATGTGATTCTTCTTCCATCTCTTTTCTCCTGGGTGTGCTATGGGTCAAGACAAAACCTGGTGTCATTCGTCCTGTGCTGGTGAAAGGAAAGAGTGCACAGCAAAAGGAGGAGCCCTATCAGCCCAATCCTTTTAAAAAGTACCTCGAAGAAATCAGTGATCAAAATATTGAGCAGGTGAGTAGCTCTCACTCTGAAGGATTTTGTAACCTCAGCTAGTTTCCTTAAAGATGAAGGAGTAAACATAGATCCTTTTTTTGTCCTGTTTATTTTGGGTTTTTTTTTTAAGTTAGATGATTCCCCAAGGGGCACCTGGCTCCTAAAGGAAAGTCTTCAAGCTGAGATGTGCAACTGGCTTTCTACAGGACCATTTCTTTCTGGTGATGCAAAAACCTATACGTTGAGGAGAGGACCTTTTTGTGAAGTCTGTAAGAAACATCGTAAAAAAGAGGGTTGAAGTCCTCTGCTTCCCTGTCAAACAGATGTCTAGATCATATCTACTAGAAAGTGCTTCCTTCATTTGGGGCCCAGACCTGAATCCTGTCTGAAGAGAAATGACAGCAAGAACTGGGCAAAGTTCACAATTTCCTCTCCAAGGGAGACTGCAGAGAAGCCCCAGTGTGTTTCTGTTTCACTTCCAGTGCTCCCCCAGGTCCATATCTCCCCCAGGTCTATATCCATGTCCCTCCACAGACTGAGGGAACAGTTCTACCACATGTGATGGTGGGGCAGCAAAGATGCTGTCTTCTCCCACAGCCCTCTGCTGTGAAGCCATAGGATCAGTTGGTAAAAACACACCTTGAGCTGTGCTGACCTGTATGAGGCATTATCTCAGAGAAACTCCGGATAAATGGCTGTGACAGCCTTTCCTCATGCATTTGTGTTTGTGTCCACTAATGAGAAAAAACCTTAAATATGATAAAGAATCTGAATGTATCTCTAAGGTTTGTACAGGGACATTGTACATCCTATCCAGTATGTTCCAAATCTTTCATCTGGAGGGAAGTAAAGTAAAGAGGTCTGACAATACTCCTCTTGTCAGACATAAAGTGAATAAAGTACCTTACTAATTGACTTTCTCTTACTCCCGTGCCTCTCTACTCACATTGGACATTTTAGCAATGGCAACCCTCTCTTCTTCCTTTTAAAACAGAATTTAATTAAGAATTTAATTTTAGCTCTTTCCATTCCTCTCACAGCTCTGACTTGATGTAGAAAAATCCAAGAACTCCTCAAGAGTACTGCAGCAGTACAGAGGAAAATATTTGGGGTATGAGTGGATTCCAGCAACACATATGGGTGGCATCAGAAGGATTCCATAGAATGTAGAATTATATAAAATATAAGAAAAAATGAACAGAAATAGTGATTAACAATTTGACTTTGAACTTTTGAGGTTAAAACTGAGTATTTGAGTTCAGTGACTACAGGTGAGTTGATAGTGAGTTATTAATGCTTTAACTTACTGAAAGCCTTCTGATGCCAAAGAATTGTGCTGCCATTTTCCTGGGATGAAAGAGCAGGAAAGTCATCTGGACTTGTTACTAGAGAGCTTTTACCCTGGGCCACCTCAGCAGAGCCTTCCTGCAAAGGGGCAGTTCAGGGCTTTCTTAGGGCTGGACACTGATTATGCTGGCTATAGTTTTACAGATGAAAGGATTAGGTAATCACCAAACTTCATCTTTTCAGACAAATACAAAGCTGGGGTTATTACCAGAGCTTGAAGCATTATGACATTTGAAACTAACTGTGGAAACCAAGTAACTTACACTTTATAAATTACTTGTGGCAAATATTACTGAAATACTGACAGCATAATGAGTCCAACGTTGTTATTACAACAGAAGGCAAAATTATTTTATATAAAAGCTACATATTGAAATGAATAAAAAAAATACTGCACTGTCTTTAATAGATGAAAAAGTTAATGTCACAAGGAATAGGTTCAGTTTTACTTCCTTTATTTAAACAAATTATGTTGTATGCTTTATAGTACTTATAAATTGGTATTTTATAAATTGGTTCTAAGATAAGTAATGTTACAAGTTGCTGTAAAGTACTTGTTATTTTAGAAAATCTTTATTAAGACATATTTGTTATGAAAAAAGAAGTAGTGACTTGTATTCAGCTGGATTCACTTAACAGAAACTGGTTTTGTTTGTGTGAGAAATGGCTGTATGATTCCCATTGTGGTCTCACAGAACAATTAATAGTACAATAATATGCAATCTAGGGAAAATATTAAAGTGCTGAACAAGACAGCATATGCTCTTGACTTCAGCTCCTGCCTCCCTGAGTAGGTTCTTGGGGCTGATATTATATCCCTTGTGAGTGGAGGAGACTTGGATGTCCAAGTGAGGATGTGCACAATCTTACACCACCTGCAAAACTTTCCTGAGGGATTTTAGTGCCTGTAGGAGAGCTGCAGCACTGACTGTGTAACTGGGCTTGGTGCCAAGACAGCAGCTTGAAAATTGCTCTGGTTGTCTCTAACCATGGGGTTTTTAGCCTGTAAAGACTAATGACTCATTCTTCCCCTTCACCTGCTCTCAGTAAAAGCATTTTTGGCTGCACGGAGGCTGACTTCCAAAGAGAGGGAGTTCTTCCTACCAATATTCCCCCCAAATTGGATAAACTTACTGCTTTCATGGGATATAAGAGCTGGGAATTAAAACTAGGAGTCTGGGAGCTAGGCATTCTGCTCTCTGTGAAAGAGCCAGTGCTAATCTGTTCTCAGATAAGAACTTAGCAGGCATTGACTGTGGCTGTGGGCCAAAGTGCTCATACTGTTACAGATTTTCCCTGTTTTTCTTTGAAGATTTTCCCAGTCATGCTGGGAGGTTCAGCTCTTATATTTCTATTCTCTCCCTCTCTCTGAGTTTTCTTTTCCCTTCTTTCTAATACCATTGCCAACAACATCCTCTTTAGGTAACGTTGCTGCCTCTCCATCATGCAGCCCATCTTGAAAGAACAGAGCCTTTCAGACTACATCTTTGAGGAGGTTAGAGAGTAGATGAGATCCCAGATGGCCTCAGCTTTATTAATTTATCTCTTCTGATTTTTCTTAGACATCTGCAGTACCTCCCTGCCCTGCCAAACCTCTCAGTGTGACACTGAGCACTGGTGACTATGTGGGTGACATTCAGTTTGAGACATAATGATGCAGCCAGCTGTAACTGCTGCCTTTCAGCTTCACATCCCTCTGTTGAACACACTGTGTTTTCTGCACTCCAGAGGGTAGCTTGTTTGCTCTTCATTTCATTAAAAATGTTGCTGTGCCTTTTTGAGGTCCATTGCCTTTAAAAATAAACAGTAGTTTTTTCCTTTAACAGGTAGATGACCTCATGCAGATAATCCAAAGTAATTAACAGAGAAAAAACCGCCTAAATTAGTAAAGATCATATGGAAAGGATGTAGTTCACCTTACAGATATCTTTCATCAACTGTGTACCTGTGTTCTGGGTAGACTGTATATAGATTTACACTCATGTGCCAATAAAATTTATAAACAAAGGAAAAACCCCGATTTATTTTGGACTTTTTTTCATGTTAGCCTATGCTGCCACCTTTCCCGCCCCCCGAGGGTCTGTGCAACTGGTATTACTGTTACCTAGTGGATATCCACACCTCAAACACTTTTTACAGACAGAGTGTAATATTTTTGAGGTTCCAATCCAAAAGTATTAAGATTCCCTCATTTTAATATGCCTTTACTGGAGATTGTATTGTTCCCATCATAAGAAATAATTTTTTCCTCTTAGTACATTTCAGTAGCATCCCAGGAATTTTCTAAGTATGTTCTACTTCGTTCAGAAAAGAACCATGAAATACACTGGAACTGGATATAACTCTGTAGCAGTACTGATATGTCAGCTTTATGAAGATTTTAATTTTAAATTGGAGAAGCACAATTTTTTTGGAGGAAGATTAAGCACTTTGTTACATAATTATATAAAATGACTCATAACGAATGTTAGACAATTCATGTGCTTGCAAACATTTATTAGCAATAATATTTACAAACCCCTTTGCCATTTAAAAAATAAATTACTTTGGGTAACAGAAGAAGAAAGATAAGGATGAACTGAAGAGATATTTGCTACATTTAGTGTGAACCTGTGTGACCAGTTTGCAAAGGTTTATCATTAACAGAAGCAGGACTGGTGCCTTTGAAGAGGCATGGCAGGAGGCAAGGCTGGTGTGAAGTGGCTGGGCTGCTGCCAGGCTCTGCTCTGCTGTTTGCTCACGCTCACTCTTTTGGTGGGCGATGCTTTAGCTTTTGCTGGAACTAATCACAGCTCTTGTCACAAATTTTCTGGTTCTTTGGCTCAAAGGCACAGCACAGTGGAGTTCCTGGTCTAGACAGCCAGCCAGCTGAGGGAAAAACCAGGATGTATTGTGTCAACAGCCTTGACAAAATCTAAGTGCAAGATGTGCACCAAACCCTGTGTATGCCTCCTTAACTCTTTCCCAAATCTTTTGAAAACCTATTTTTAAAAAGGATTTTATCCTTTTAGGTGCAAAAAGAGCTTACATATTGGGTGTTCTTAACCAGAAACACTATTAACTACTGACATCTTTGAGCAGCAAAAAATACTGTGTATTCACATTCACTGGTTTAACACTTAAATGTCTCAAACGTCTTGTTGAAGTCTTGCTAGAAACCCTGGAGTGCTCCTGCTCATATACAGATACAGCCATTGTCTGTACCTTTCAGGCACTGTTTTTACATTGATTTTACTCCTGTTTCATTAAATGTCCCAAACATGATCATTTTATCCTAGCACAGGATCCTTCAGGGATTTCCTTTTCTGTCCTTTGAGCACCAGTTGAGCTGCAGGAGGGAGATGCACTGGACCCCAGTCAAAGTATAACTGGTTTAATGGGAGGGACATCTACTGCAGGTTTTTGTGTGTGCACTTGCATGCCAATGAAAGTGCCTAGTGTAGATCGATTTTACTGGCATGAAAGTTCAGTACCTTTCCTGGTTAACCATCAAGACCTAAGGGACATAAAAAGCTGCAAGACAAGCACTTTGCTTTCTGCCCAAACTTCTTTTTTTTTTTGCACCCATTAATTTGTTTCTAATTACTTTTTTTTTTTTTTTCATAGAAGATTGGTCTCTTATACTTCTGTATCCAACTAAACTGATCCCTCCAGCTAAGTCCCATTTGTGTCCTCCATCCTTCTCCCCCACAGACTGTCCAAACCCTGGACCTTTCAGGCACTTCTCTTCCGTCATATGTGATGTTCATGAAAATCCTTATAGCCCTTACTGACACAACTTTTGTACAATAAAGTGAGCATCAAGTAGAGTGTGATTCAAGATCTTTGTAGGCTGTTATCCTTTTAATTTTTGGCAGAATAAGCTGAGTCATGAGGATTCAGTGCTGGCAAGTGCTGTGGGAGATGCATCTCAGGCGAGCCTGAGTGTCCATCTTCCATGGAGATAATACAGCTTTTCCTTTCCTTGACACAGCTTGTGTTGGGTGTTGCTTTCTCTAGACCAGCTAGGACAGGCTCCCACCACTGTTCATTCAAACTATTTCTTCTCTAAATCAGGAATAATCGATTTTGTCCCTCATGCTTAGATTAGTTTTAACATTTACTCACAATAAAATAATAGGGTATTACTTTTTTTTTTGGAGATTGAGCAAAGGGAGACTAATCTGAGAGAAATACAGACTTTTCCAGTGGTTCTCTCTGTCATCTTGACAAACAGTTTTCTCTTGCCAGTACAAAGTGAATGATGTTATTGCTGACATTTTTGTCTTCTTTGAAACAGCATTGGAGACGTTGGACAAAAATCTCTGTAGTCCAAGGTGTGTGGGTAACAGGGCTGGCTAATGAGCTTTGTAAGGTGAAAATTGTGTCCTATGCCTTAACTGATCTGTTTGATGAGCAGCTGACACGAGGTGTTTACACTATCTCAAGAGAGCCCCCGCCCTAGAAAAGCATCAGCTGTGGAAGTTCATAAAAGATGCTCTTTGGAATCTCTCAGATGCATCTCTTCTATTTCCTCTAACAGAGAATCTGGCTGAAAATGATCAAATCTTGTTTCTAGAAGAGACTATCCCACTCTGAGATGTAGAGTGTACTTTGTTTGGGATGCAAGAGGTTAAAATGTAAGCATTGGGTGCTGTTTCTTTAGGCTATGTCATGGTTTCCTCTTCAGGGGAAGTACCAGGGTGAATTATGTGTCATTAGTTTCAGGCACGCTTGACAGAGAGTCAAGGCTGCTTTGGAAAAATGTATAATTTCTGCAGACAATACATGTTGACCAGCTGTCAGACTCAAGAAATACCTGGAAATGCCTTTCTCTCTCCATACTAGAAGCATAGTTTAGGTTAATAGGCAATGTCAATAGTGTTTGATATTGGTCCCTCCATCCTGTGGGATTTACAGAAATTACAATTTTACCCACTTATGAGGATGAACCAGAACTAAAACTAAACTAAAATGAAACCTTCCATTCTGTCTTTGAGACAGCTTGAACAAAAACAACTTTTCATGTCTGAGAGACTGGTTTAAACAGAACAAAATTCTGCTTAAATTTTTACTAAACTGGGATAACATATTTACTTAGGCAGAAAAGATTTTACAATCAAATATTTTTAACAAGTTCCCTAGTTCATTGAAGGCAGTCACACAAACAAATACTTCATATGACCAATAAAATAATTTTTTATAATGAAAATGGCTATTTACTGTTACTAATGAGAGCTAATGAATGCTAAAAAATCAGAAATTTGAATAGAAAAGTGAATAAGTCAGGAAAAAGGTGTCTGAAGATAACTAAGATAGTGTAATTTTTTGGTATGTCATGTCAGCTGTTCTTTGGCAAACAGAATAATCAGATGTCAATGCTGGACTATTTTAATATAAACAGGTTTTTTCACCCTAAAAGCAAATATTCTTCAGTTAGAATTTTTTAATGCTTCTGTTTTGGTCTATAATACTAACATTCGTTGATAACCAAAGGAAGATTAATTTTGATTTTGTTCTCATGATCAATATTTAACATTTGAATCAGTATGTTGATAAAATTCATAACACTATTTCCTGTACCACCCAACTGGAGTCTGAGCTATTAATGTTTTTAAAAAGAAATTATTCAATTTATTGTCGTAAATACATGCAGTAGCAGAAATAGCACAGCAGACACGGGTGTTGAAATTTCAAACAGTTAGACCCATTCTGTAAACAACATCCCAACGGCATGGGAATTTCATTCTGTTCTCTACTAAACCCGGACTATTTTCTCTGTTAGTTCTCTGGAGCATCCCCTTTCCACTTCTTATCCTTTAGGATAAGGAATAATATGCAATGACTCACTTGCTGTCCTCCAGCCCCACAGTAAACACGTGGTCAGTGTCCACAGGGTAAATCTATGGAACGTTTAATTTCTGATTATATGTTGTGTTTTGCTTCACCTTCCACTAGAGGGCAAAACTTGCTGGTATAAATTGTTATAACCATTCTTAATATGTTAAAAATACAGTATTGAAAAGGGACAGGAGGTCACAGTGAATGAAATTATTCTCCTCCTGCACTATTGTTAAAAAATTACCTTAAACAAGTATTTCCTCAGAAATGGGAAATGGAAACAACCGAAATGATTGCCTATGCCTTATATTAGGGAGACTGGATATGGCGAGGACCTAAAACCAGGATCATGTCATGTGTTGGCCCGGGGTGTAAGATAATATCAGCAGTATTGGTCTGAAATGCTTATTGAAAAGGCACCGTGTTGTTTAGGCAGGCTTGACTTGGTGCCTGATTGGTTTTTTTGAAGTACATGAACTTCCATAGGTGATGAAATTTCACAGATCAAGCTGAAAGATTCACTGGGCAGTTTTTGTGGATTATAGCTGTTTGAAGTGATGAAATACATAACCTGTGTCCCAAATCATTTTACAATGTGGTTTTAAGATTTGATAGGAGGAGTCAGTGGGAACCAAGGTGTTGTGTCTCCCTCCTCTCATTTGTGCACAGGCTATGTCTGAAATTAAAATGTTGTCCACTACTGCTAATTGTGTTGTACCACTAATGCTGATTCTGTTCTTACCTTGCCTTCCCCACTCTATTGCCCAGCTACCAGGTTCTGCTGCTCTTATTTAAACTCCTTGGGCTCAAATAATTATGAGTTAAAAGTTTTATTATCAAGAAATCTTTTACTTTTGATTGCAATAAAACAACTCAGGAGAAAGGAATTATATACAAGTATTGCAGTGATGGAGAGTCTGAGGAAATGTGGAGCTGTGTGGTTTACTCCAAAGCATGGTCCTGATGGGAATCCCTCCAGTCTTTAAGGGAGAACTGTGTAGGGTGGAAGAGCACAACCCTGCACCTGGGGTACTCTGTCCAGTTCTGGTCTCCACAATTCAAAAAAGATGCAGACAGACTGGTGAGAGTCCAAAGAAGGGCCACAGCTTTGACCAAAGGACTGAGAAGAGGAACCTACCCTATGAGGAAAGGCTGAAGGAGTCAGGTCTTTTCTTCCTGGAGAAGGGAAGGCTCGGGGAGGACCTCCTCACAAGATCCCAGTACTTTAAAAATAATTATGGAGAGGACAGAGGCTTTCTCTTCTAATGGAGCCACATGGAGAAGACAAGGTACAACAGGTTCAACCAGCAGAAGGAGAGGATTGATTTTGTTATACAAAAGACTTATTTTGTGAGAGGGACCAATCACTGGAACAACCTCTGTAGGGATGTGTAGAGTCCCCACCACAGGTGGTTTTCGAGATGTGTTTGGACAGGGTGCTAGGTAACCTCACCTGGGCTCTCTTTCCCTCAAAAGGGTGAGCTCTTCCAATCTGTGCTGTTCTAAGATTCTGTGATTTCTACGAGGCACGATAGATAGATAGATTAGATAGATAGATTAGATAGATAGATAGATAGATAGATAGATAGATAGATAGATAGATAGATAGATAGATAGATAGATAGATGTAAATACCTGTCAGGGCAGTGACCACTAGATTTTAGAAAATCAGCTATTTTTTAAAAGAGAAAGGAATGACCTGCCCAAGCAAAGAGGCAAAAAATGAGTGGGTGTAGCTCCCTCAGCCTCCAAGTCCCTAGTGACTTTCAAACTTTTCTTTCTGTCAGCAATGAACACCTCTGTAAAAATCTCCCTGTTTGTTAAATATTTAGTAGTACAGCCTTGAAGATGGATTGGAACTGCCTTTTTGCAAGCAGTGTGAGAAGTGTTAAAAAATTACCATTTCTATCTGGTCAGGCATTACTTATAACAGTAGCAGAAGACAAGTTCTCTTTAATGTCCAACTTTATGCTCAAGCCAATCTAATTTTTTTCCTAAATGATCTAAATGGAATTTTCTTGAAACCACTAAAGTCATGCTGAAACCACCATAGTCATGCTGAAAGTGTCAACTTTTCATAATCACTTGCAGGTCCCGACACTCATAGATAAGTAGAATATTTAAAGGGGATCTTTATTATTTTTAAAATGAAATCTCTGGTGTTTACTTCATCATCCAATCTCCTAATCATTGGAGTTTGTATTTGATTAATAGCAGCATAGTGAGAACTGACATTCTGTGAATACAGCAGCCTTTCAAGGTTGCCATGGAAAAACACTTTTCTCCCAGACATCATCCCAACAGCTTTTATTTTCTAGAAGACAGTTCCTTTCACTCTTTTGAACTTTGATACTTAAATGTTGCACTTGTGTAGGTGTATCGTGGTTGATCAATCTACTATCTGTGATCCAGAAAAATTGCTTTGGTGTAGAAAAAGATATCAGAGGAAAACAAGTCAGTTCATTAGTGCTGAGCTACAAATTGGACTTCCAAGTTGGGAAAATATTAATGATTAATATTGTTGTGTCTTCTTTGTATGTTATTTTTATGTCATTTTGGGGATTAATGATTTATTTTTATGATATCATATTTAGATGAAATTTCTATCATTTTTGACTTGGTTTGACAATGCCTTCAGAAAATGCATCCAGAGCTCCTGCTCAGCTCGTCTTTAAAGAAAGGTGTTTCACTTGAAGCACTTTTTAGAAAGATCCAAACTTTCTAAACATAATAAATTGCTTTCTTCAAAGCCATTGAATTAGAACAGAATGTAAAGGTATCTTAGGCTCAACAGGAGACATGCACTTACAATGGAGGTGTCCTCAGTCTGGCAGCACCTGGAACGACCTCAGCTCTGGAGGCTGATGGAATGTCACGTTTCTCTGGAGATAGCTCTTCCAATGAAAGAGAAAATAATTGATTCCTGTGTCACTGCTTTTGGCCTGGGCAGTTAGACAAGTTTGAGAACCTTTCTGTCCTGTTTCCAATGGGAGAAGCTGCTGATAAATGCTGACCCTGGCATTTTGGTGTGCTTCTGTTCATTTATAAAAATGTGTGCACCACGCAGTAGGATCAAGCCCCAGCAGGCACTTCCTATGCTTAGAAACAGGACTGTGCTTCCCAGGGAACACACCTGGGAGTGTTCAAGTTTCCTCTTGAAACATAGTTACAGCCACTTCTGTTTCTTTCTGCCTTTTCCTTTATACAGGCTGTCTCTGCTGGGACAGATTAAACCAGTTTTAAGCACCAAATAGCTCTTTGAGATGCTTTGTCTTCGTTCTTAGAAGTTTCTACATAATAAAAAATTTGAGTTCATCCTTATATCTGACTTTCTAGGTCTTCTGCAGAGTGGGTTTCAGTCCGACTTTTTAATACAATAAACATTCCCAAATATAATAAAAATTCTGGTCCTGGCTAACAGCTCGCTTCTGAGAATAGAAGCAACCCAGAGGTAAAGGCTGTTATTAACAGCATTAGCAGAAACATGCAATTGAGTGAAGAATACCAAACCAGATTTGGTGTGTATGAAACCTGTATGAGAAACCAAAATGATACTTGTGCACTTTTTTTTGAAGATAGTGTAAAAACAAGGTCTGAAGGAAAAAGAAAATACAAGGATTTTCA